TGGAGTGGAAGGGAGGGAGAGAGAGAGAGAGAGAGAGAGAGAGAGAGAGAGAGAAAGAGAGAGAGAGAGAGAGAGAAAGATCGATGTGAGAGGGACACATTGACTGGTTGCCTCCCACACGACCCTGACCAGGACCAGGGACCAAACTGCCACTGATGTACGTGCCCTTGACTGGAATCGAACCCACGACTCTTTGGTCTGAGGGCCAACGCTCTAAGCACTGAGCCAAACCGGCTAGAGCTGAGATTGGTTTTAATAATATTCTATGTATCCTAATACAGGGAGGGACAAAAGTAGGTTTACAGTTGTTCAAATGGAAAATAATACAATAATTAATAAATAATAATACAAGAATAAATGTTATGTGTACTCACAACTGTAAACCTACTTTTATCCCACTATGTGTATGAAAATTTATCATTTTCACATGTAGTAAACATAAAAGGTTATTGACAAAATATTTTACTTTTTTTTCATAGTAGCCTTCAAAGTCCAATATGTATCTCTGCTTATAGCACATCTTAGTTTGTTAAATTTTCAACAGTTTAGGTGAAACATAGTCCTATCAAAACAATAGTTATAATGGAAAGTATTTTAAATTGTAACTAAAATTAATGAAAATTAAATAAAATTAAAAATGTAGTTTTTTTGCTACACTGTCCACATTTCAAGTGCTTAAAGCCACAGTGTCTCGTATCCATTATAATAGACAGCACATCTCTTGAGACTAGAATATGGATTTTACTCTATTTGTAGTATTCATAGGACTTTGTCAAGTATCCAGTTCTCATTAAATGTTACTGACTGTTTATTAGCTAATAAAATTATGGCAAATCGTGGAGAAACAAGAGAAAGATGTAAAATTCTTAAGAAGAAGAGCAAATTTGTTTTCCATTTCATAAACTCAATTTTATCATATGTGAATAGAACTAAGTGCCATGATACCTCCCACAGTGACTCTGTGGAGAAATTACTCCCACAAGCAAGTGTGTGAAAAGCTGTATACTAATTCATCTTATTGGGGATTCACAAAGCATGTTAGCATTATCCTTTTCACTCATGGTTCAGATATACAAAACAAGTTTTATACTATGCTCGCATCTTTGATATATAACTGTCTTCCTTTCTCTTTCTTCTTTTGAATAATATAAAAAGCAAGTATGAGCCCACCACCTAATTAAAAATCCAAGACTTTTATAGACCTTATATCCCCCATCTAAAATGGCCATCGTCCCAACTCCTATGCTCAATTGTTTCCTTGCTTTCCTTTGACATAGTTTTATATCACACAATTATTGTTATGAACGTGATATATAATTTCTTATACACACTTATAGCCATGGTAGAGTGAAGTATCATGCTATACACAATCTTGAAACTTGCTAGACGCTGAATCAGGTTCAAAAATTTCTAAGATTGCTCCTTGGTCAGTTCCCGCTTACACCTTTATCATCTCCAAATAGACATTTTTATTATTTTTTAACTTAATTTTCAATTATAGTTTACATTCAATATTATTTTGTATTAGTTTCATGTGTACAGCATAATGGTTAGACAATCATATTCTTTACATAGCATTCCCTGATATTTCTGGTTTTGTTTTTTTTTTAATCCTCACCCAAGGATATTTTTTCCATTTTTTTGTACAGATAGAGTGGGAGGGAGAGAGAGGAAGGGAGAGAGAGAGAGAAACATCGACGTGAAGGGACACATCGAGTGGCTGCTACCCGCACGACCAACCAAGGCCGGGGACAAACTGCAACCGAGGTACGTGCCCTTAGCGGGAACCGAACCCGGGTCTCTCCGGACCGCAGGCCGATGCTCTAACCGCTGAGCCAAACTGGCCAGGGCCATTCCCTGATATTTCAAGTACCCACCTGGCACGTATAGTTATTACGATATTATTGACTATATTTCCTATGCTGTACTTTACATCCCCATGAGTACTTTGTAACTACCAATCTGTACTTCTCAATCCCTTCACCTTTATCACCCAGTCCCCCCACTCCAAAGTCCCCTCCCCTCTGGTAACCATCAGTCTGTCCTCTGTATTTGTGAGTCTGTTTCCTTTAGTTTGTTCCTTTATATTGTTCCTTAGATTCCACATATAAGTGAAATCGTATGGTATACGTCTTTCTCTAGCTGACTTATTTCACTTAGCATAATACCTTCTAGGTCCATCCATGCTGTCGCAAAATTGTATTCTTTTTTATGACTGAATAATATTCCACTGCATATAGGTACCACTGCTTTTCTATCCTCTAGTCTGTTGATGGGCACTTGGGTTGCTTCCATATCTTGGCTATTATAAATAATGCCGCAATGAACATACGGGTGCATATATCCTTTCAAATTAGTGTTTTGGATTTTTTCAGATATATACCCAAAAGTGGAATTGCTGGGTCATAAGGCAGTTCCACTTTTAATTTTTTGAGAAACCTCCATAATGTTTTCCATGGTGGTTATACCAGTCTGCATTCCCACCAACACTGCACTAGGGTTCCCTCTTCTCCAAATCCTCGCCAACATTTCTTTGTCGATTCATTAATGATAGCCATTCAGCCAAGTATGAGGTGATATCTCATTGTGGTTTTAATTTGCATTTCTCTGACGATTAGTGACAGTGAACATCTTTTTATGTGTCTATTGGCCATCTGTATGTCCTCTTTGGAGAAATGTCTATTCAGGTCCTTTGCCCACTTTTAATTGGATTATTTGTTTTTTTCTATTGAGTTGTATGATACATTTCGGATATTAACCCCTTATCAGATGTACCACCAGCAAATATGTTCTCCCATTCAGTGGGTTGTCTTTTCATTTTGTTGATGGTTTCTTTTGCTATGCAAAAACTTTTTAGTTTTTAGTCCCATTTGTTTATATTTTTTGTTGTTACGCTTACCCAAGGAGATATATCATAAAAAAATATTGTTAGGAGAAATGTCTGAGATTTAACTGCCTATGTTTTCTTGTAGGATTTTTATGGTTTCGAGTCTTACATTTAAATCTATAATCTATTTTGAGTTTTTTCTTGTATATAGTTTAAGAATGTGGTCTAGTATTTTATTTTTGCATGTATCTGTCCAATTTTCTCAGCACCATGTATTGAATAGACTGCACTTAACTCATTGTATGTTTTTGCCTCCTTTGTCAAATATTAATTAACCATATAGGTGTGAGTTTATTTCTGGGCTCTATTCTGTTCCATTGACATATATGTCTATATGTTTTTATGTCAGAACTATGCTGTTTTGGTTATTATGGCCTTGTAGTCTAGTTTGATATCTGCTAGTGTGACTCCTCCAACTTTGTTCTTATTTCTCAAGATTGCTGTAGCTATTTGGGGTCTTTTGTGGTTCCATATAAATTTTTGGATTATTTGTTCTAGTTCTGTGAAATACGCCATTGGTATTTTGATAAGAATTATGTTGAATCTATAGATTGCTTTGGGTTTTATGGACATTTTAACAATGTTGATTCTTTCTATTTATGAGCACGGCATATGCTTCCATTTCTTTGTATTTTCTTCAATTTCTTTCTTCAGTGTCATATAATTTTCTGAGTGCAGTGGACCATTTTATTTTTCTTCTAAATACATTTTGCTTAACTTCCATCTTCCCTCTCTTCACTTCATTTCCCACACAGCCCTCAGGATCATCTTTCTGAAACACAAACTGACCATATAATTTTCTTGCTATTAATACCTTTCAGAGATGCCCCAAACACTAAAGGATAAAGTCCAAAATCCTTATATAGATAATGACTGATAGGTTATTTAATGTTTAGAACTCCTCCTGTCTCAGTAAGCATAGCTATATTGTAATGTGACTTTGACTCCCATCCAGTGGTGAAGTCATTTCTCCATTCTCTTGATCTAGGCTAGCCTATAACTTGCTTTGGCTGACATGACATAACACAACTTCTGGGGTCAGGCTTTAAGAGGTGTTGCATCTTCTGCTTTTGTTCTCCTAGAAAACTTTCCTGAGACTGCTGAAAGGAAGCTGAATTGGTTACTTGAAGATGAGAGGCCATGTGGAGAACAACAGGAATCTCAGCCAAAAGCCAGCAGCCAAACATATGTGAGGTTCTTTGCACCTTCCAGTTTAGCCAGATCTCTAGTTGAAACCACATATGAGTAAATCCAGGCAAAATCAGCATGAACTCTTCCAGCTGCTCCGCAAAATAATCTGAGTTTTTAAAATCATGATTGTTTTAATTCACTAAGTTTTGAGATAAATTGTTATGTAGTAATGGATAACTAACTGTAAGATCTTTGTTAAGACCTCATAAAAATTGAAGATGGTACCTAATAGACCCTCTCATGTACACCAAAGGGCTTCTAATGAACCTTTGTATTCTCATAAGCATTAGATGAAGATCTGACTCAAAAATAATTATAGATGTGGTTTTAAGATACAGAGTGAACTGCTCATTAGCTTCCTAGAAAACCCACAAAAATTTTAAGAGAATCACATTGGTAAAAATGCTGGCAGCTTGAATGCAAAGGGTCGAAGATAGTTCAGAATGAGCTCTCAAGTTCTAATGTTCAGGAAGCAGGCTTCCAAAGATCTAAACATCTGCAAACATGGGTCATTTGTTTCTGCTGCTTTTAGCAGCTTTATTGAGATCTAATTTACAGATCATACAATTCACTCATTTAAATGTATAATACAATAATTTTTATTATATTAAAAAATTTGAAACCATCACCACAGTCAATTTTAGGATATTTTCATCACCTCAAATAAAAAAAAAAGATCATTGCTATCCCTCCCATCCTCTGCCCACCCCCCATCCTTTTCAGCCCCAAGTGTGGGGAATTTCTTAAGCATCACTTGTTTTACAGGAACACAGAGCTTAGGTAAAGCTGAACATTGTCAGTCCTCCTTTTTGTTAAATATAAATGAATATAATAGGTTCCTAAACAACTAAGAGAGATGTATAAAACTCCTGGGTGAGATGAAGCAAGATCTAATTAACAGTCTTTCTCAAACTCTTGTTGGTTTTGTTTCTGTAAAATACATTGAACCACCTGGTGAACAGTTATAGCACAGGTCAGTTGTTTTAGAATTTTGAAATCCAGGCACCTTAAACAGGATTCCTGAAATGAAAAAAAGAACTATTAATATAAAAGTTTTTCACACTCTGTGGAGCACAAGTCTAGTGGATTCTAAGAGGTTAGTGGAAGAAAATCTTTGATTAAGCAGTACTTTAAAAGAAATTAAGACCACCCATATAAGAATGAGCAAAGACTAATTTATTCATAGCCTGATATATAGCAAAGGAGTTAGCCATCATCACTTACCTTTGGCAGAGTCTGAAGTGAACAGACCTAGGCATTTTGGTCACAAAAGAAGTAGTACTCAGTAGGGACACATAGAGATCTAGGGAAAAAAGGAAGTTATGACATGAGGGCAGAACCAAGGCCTTACATCAGTTTGATCACGTATTTAGATCTCTATTAGTCTCTTCTATATGGCAAATATTTGGCTCATTGTCCTAAAGTGGTTGTGGAAATATAATTTAGAATTACATAGGGTACAATCTATAGATTATAATAACTGGAGAGATGGACACTAATAAAATAATTTACCAGTTGATTTGGTTAATATCAAAAGTAGAAAATCCACCAGCTATATTTCCTTATGATCTCATTTGACGAGATTGGAATTGCCCAGGGGGTTTATAATGGGATCCAGTGATAGATGGTATACCCAGCATCAGTAAGACTGAGGGCAGTGGCTACCGTTTGAGATCATTTAAGAATGGCTTTAAAATAAATATGTTCTGACCTAACAATTATATAAGGAGGGGGCAAAAAAGAGATAAATTGCTATTATATGTGGATGACAACAATTCTTTATAGGAAATGAGAAAAAGAATAATTTAAATGTATAATACAATAATTTTTATTATATTAAAAAATTTGAAACCATCACCACAGTCAATTTTAGGATATTTTCATCACCTCAAATAATTAGCAGATAGATTTAAAAAAAAAATAGGAATCAGACAGAGGTCCTACTTTAACATCTTGGGCAGAAGCTGTCCATTTTCTAAAGTCACCTGCTTTTCCCAGCTAGTGTGGCTCAGTGGTTGAGCGTCAACCTATGCATCAAGGGTCACCAGTTTGATTTCTGGTCAGGGCACATGCCCAGGTTGTGGGTCCGATCCCCAGTGGGGGACATGCAGGAGGTGGCCAATCGATGTTCTTGTTCATCGATGTTTCTGTCCCTCTCTTCCTCTCCCTTCCTCTCTCTCTAAAATCAATAAAGGAAAAAAATTAAAATAAATAAAGTCACCTGCTTGTTCCAAAGACCAGCTGTGTCTACAAGATTTCTGAGTATCCTTAATTTGAAGTCCCCTGTTAGACTTCAAAGTTGTGTGGAATTCTGAATTACTTCTGATGAGCAGTTCTGATAAGAACGACAAAGTCCCTGGTCTGTAGATTGCCCTGAGCAACAGGCTGATAGGACATATGCCTGTGTTCTGCCCGGTGATTCTCCTTCTTTTGACAAATAACACTTTGAGACAGCATACCACGAAATAGTAACAAAAATGCAGTAAGGAGAATGAAAAGAATTGCTTGATTCCACTAAGGAGGTCAAACAATGGGAACTTGATAACAACACCTGGGTGCCAAACTGAGAGTAAATAACCAAGTAAGTCAACACAAAGGGAGTGGAGGGCAAATCTGGTGCCGACTTACCACATTGTTGTAGACTTGACAAGAGGTGAGCAGCAAGGCACCGGGGCTTCCACAGCTGGATGAAGACTGGAGTCCATGGTCATGGTGAGTGCAAACTGTATCTTGGTGAAACCTACAAGAAAACTATGGAAATAAGTGAAGATCTCTCAAATAAAAACAAGCACATTCTGTTTATTCAGAGCTTGCTATAACAAGAGAGTCACCACCAACACTTGAGTTTGGCAGAAACTCAAATGCATGTAGAATAGTGGGCAAGCCCTGGTGGAAATGAGGGAAGGCTTCAGGTACACCCTACCTGGAAGCTGTTGGCCTGAGAAGCGGGAAGCAGGCTAACTAGAAGTGGGCCTTTCTATGTCGTTTGTTAGAAATATATATTTGGCTTTCTATGGTCGGTCCTAAGTTAGAAGTAGGGGCAAAAATTAGAGAAACTGGCAATTATTGACTAGGTCCTGATTTGGACTGATGATGAAGAGACTGTGGATGGACTCTTAGGCTCATTGCTATAGAGGATGTGTGTCAGAGTTTGTTTGTTTGTTTGTTTTTTTGTTAATCCTCACTTGAGGATATGTTTTTATTGATATTTTTAAGAGACAATGGAAGGGAGGGAGAGAGAGAGGAGAGAGAATCAGCAATGTGAGAGAGACACATCTATTGGTTGCCTCCTGAACAACCCTGACATGGGCCTGGGATTGAACTTGCAACCCAAGTACACGCCCCTGATCGAATCAAACCTGAGACCCTTTGGTCCTTGAGCCAACATTCCAACTGCTAAGCCAAAACATCCAGGATTGTCAGAGTTTTATTTTCATATATGGCCTTCCCTTTGCCTGTTTGTATACCCAGCCTCTCTCCACTCACCACGTTCATTGAAGTTATGATGTCAGTTGCATTAATGATCTCATCCAAAGCATTGGTTACATCTCCAATAAAGGCATGGGTGACATGAGAATTTCACCAGAATTTCAGAGTACTCCAAACAGCAGCTCATCCCAGGAAAGAGCAGTACCATGAATGGTCAGCAGAAATGGTGATTCATAGATCTAGGCTTATAACATGTCCTCAGGCTTGAGCTTGCAGTGACTCTTCAGATCCTTGGGCAAAGCAACCAGCTACAAGGCAACCTTAGAGTCTCAATAAGAATCAGGCAGTCAGGTTTCAGTTCTCAGTGACTCCAAGTCAAGAAAAGGGAGGAAAAATGGAAAGCTTAGTTTGGAGGCTCAGGTCAATTGGTAGCCAGTATTGAAGGAATCTGAAAGAACTGAAAATCTGGTAAGGGTTGACAAATGCGCGAGATGAGAGAACCCAGTTCAGTACCTAACCGATTTTCCACAGTGGAAGAGAAAGCTTGGTCACTAGACAAGACAGAGTTTGCATGTGGACCAGTCAATTGCATTTCACAGAGCAGTGCAACATAGCTCAGAGACAATGAGTAGGGTCCGAATCTGATCATCCAGGAGAGTGTGCTATAGTGAGTTGCCCATTGAAACACACACAGTTTCTCTCTACAGTCTCTCTTCCCCTTTTGGTCAAAGACAATCTCAAAGATTATTCTTGATCACAAAATAAGGCTGGTCTCATTAGAGGTGGCCTGGTCATTTGCACAGATGCACCAAGAATGGCAATCTGCCACATAGGTTTTAGATTTCCTTTGCTGGAAGTTTTCATAAAGAATCTCAGATTGGACTTTTCAAAGCCTCTTGAGGGTAGAAAGCAAGCCAAGAATTCACCACCACTTTTCCCCTGCAGCACCCAGTGATCTGATGGGAATCCTCTCTTCCTGAGGTCCCCCAAATAGCCTAAGGTTCCTGAGCCTGCCATGAAGTCTCCTTCCTCACTCACTGGCAAGGCTGGGAACCCTATGAAGCCAGTTACCAGGCCAGTCTTCTCAAGAGAGACCAAGTCAGCCTTAGTTCCTAGAAGCATCGGGTCATATCTGACTAAATGAGCATCATTCTCCAATATGACATTCTAGGCAAAGCCTTGGTTGCATATCCAGTCTTTCCAGTTATGTCCTATTAACAAGGTGGACAGACTCTTACTGAATCTATGCAAATAACTGTATTGCCATGAAAACAAGAGTACTCAGTAAGAGTTTCAGAATTGTGGGAAGGTGAGTCAGGGTAGAACAGATAAATGTTCCACTTCTGTGTGCAAGAGCACAGTCTACTAAATTGTTATGAGTGATCGATAGCTTAATAGAAAGCGGTTCCTTACATCCAGAAAATAGAACGTGAATGCATCAGCACTATTGCAAACAAAGCCCATATCCATCCATCATCAGTTCATTCAGTCCTATGCAATCACACCTGTCTCACTCTATCTTGGATTAGCAGGCTCATAAATCCCTCTCCTTCTCAGCTGAAGTCCTGGAAATCCTGACTCAGTCCACCAACAACCCCAGTTATTGAAGCAATGCCCCCAGAAGCCAGTGAGCAGGAGTACCTGGCCTAGTCCTTCTCAGTGGGTCTTTGAGACTGTCCTTTTCAGCTGAAGACAAAGCACTCGGGCACGTAGCTGATCATTTCTGTGTACCAGAGCACAGTCTACTACATTGCCTTGAGTGATAGATAGCTTAACAGAAAGCTGTTTCTTACACCCAGAAAATAGAACATAAGTGCATCAGCACTATCCCAAAATCCATATTCGTCCAGTCTGCTCACTCCATTCAGTCCTAGGCAATTATTTCTTGTTCCACTTGAGCTTGCGTCAGTAGTCTCACGAACGCATCTGCTTTCCAGGAGAGGTTCAGAACTCCTGATTTTCACAGGTGTGATTTTACAATCCTTTAAGCAGTGCCATCAGAAGCCTGTACCCAAGAGTACCTGGCATAGTCCTTTTCACCAGGCTTTATGATGGTCTTTCTTTGTTGAAGATGGAACCCTTCTGATTGTAAGAGATTTCATGGAAGCATCAGGAGTAAAACAAAACACATTCACAAAACTCTCTGTAGATGTCAAAAGACTAAAAGTGGCTATTGTTTACTTATTACTGATATTTTTTAAAAGACAATAATCTAAACAGAGTTTGTTCTAAGAATAATGTAATTAACAAGCACATCTGGTTGTTTTCATGGCACGCAAAACAAAGCCAACCCAGAACAAGTTTATACAAAATCGTCATAAACACAGAGATTTAAGTCTATTTTCAAATAATGGTGGCTATACATCTGGTTTATTGAAATGAAAGAACATAATCTTCACAGAGAACACAATTACAGATGTAGTATATAAAAATCCTGAGACACAGAATGCCACATACGCCTAGCACATCATTAGAATATAACAAGAATATATCAAGATTTTCAAGTAAATAGATTCAGCACATCTGGAAAAGGTTTTAAACATCAATAGATTAATAAGACTCCACAGATAAGTGTTGTGAATTTCCAATAGAAAATGACTGGCCTGCAATCTACTAGATTAAAATGAAAGAAGTTACAACCAAGTTAATGTGTTTAAAAGTAACTGAAATTATGACTAAAAACATGATACTGCTTTTGTCTTAAAGGCAAAGCAACACCAGGACTCTGGTAAATTGAAACAAATCATGGACAGCGAAAACATTGACAATTCTCTGAAACCTTCTCACACAGAATACAAGTGTTTAAATATTTATGTTAATAACACTTGGCCCATGCAATTTTAACCTAGGACGGTCTTAGCATTACTTCTGATTTGACAATATTTTGTATGTAACTCATGCTTGGTAACATAGCAAATAACCCTATTTCTAACATTTCTCTTTTCACAAGGTGAAAGAACAAATCTTGGTAGTTTTCCAGGGACCCTCTGGGAAACCACAAAGGCTGACAAAGGCTAATCAAACATTGAACTTGAGGCAACTTGAAGACCGCGAGGCCCTCGATTCTATGAGAACTTCCTGTATTTTAACTTGTTTGTTTCATCTTAGGTGTGGACCCAGCCCATGTGCCCAACCACAACCACCATTTCCTGTCTTAACTTTCTTGTTATTACAGTAGTTTGTTAGATTTCAAGAACCCACTCCGCCCAGCTTCACCGCTACCCCTCCTACATTCTACAGCTCTCTCTGCATTTAAAAACTTTGCCAGCCCTCTCCCCTGAGACATTTCTGTCTTAGTCTTTGAGCCTCTTTCTGTGATAACACTCCCCTGTTCCTACTGCAGCACCCCCTTGATGAAGTCTTTCGTGCTAACGTCCAGCTTGCATTTTTGTTTTCTTTGACAGTAATGGTGCCATGACTCTGATGGAGTGTTTGTTGATCACCCCTCGGACCCTGCTTTTTTCACTCAAGCATTAAGGCCGTTTTATCAGACCCTGTGTTCTTCCCTGGCTGGGGAGATTGGGATCCACAGTGGTAAGTGGTGACTCCTACCCCAGTGTTCCAGTTGTCTGTTGGAGCATGGTAAAGCCGTGGCTTTATTTGTTCTTTCTCTTTTCTCTCTCTCTTTTTTTGTCTTTTGTTCCCTACTTCTCTGTCTTCTCATTCTGCCATTTTTGAGTGTGGTTAAAGCCCCTGACTCTGTCCCTGGAAATCATACCTAGGCTAAAGCCCAGAGGTCTTAGTACCAATAGGTGTTCCTTTCATTATCATAAGACATTGTCAGTCTAATCATTGTCCCTCAGATCTCTTCTTTGCGGGGTACATCCTACATCATTACGGTACTGATGCTATCCAATGTCTTCAAAATGGCAAAATTGTACTAATGACCACTTAGAATTTCAACGGTCCCTTTGGGGAACTTGGTCTCTCCTCCAACCCTCTCCTGAAATTTAGTCCATATTGGCTCATTCTGAGAGGGGCTCTTGAATCCCCTGATTCCAAGATTTTATCCAAACAATGAACTGCTTTTATTATTGGTACAAAGAACCAGAAAAATGTCTCTCCCACAAAAATAGTTCAGAGACTATTGTTTCCCTCCAAGATTGTCCTCCTTCCTCGACAACTTCTAAGACCTGTCTCTTCTCTTCACTCACCTTCCCAGCTTGTCCCTTCTCTTCTTTCTACCCTGAAGCTCCCTGGAATCCTTTGCTCTCCCTCACCACCTCTGCCCACCCTTGCCAGACCTGTCCTTTCTCACTCCAACCCCTCAACCTTCCTGCCGTCATGCGAGACTTAAGTCCCTCTGACACTGTCGGGGCTCCAGAGACACCCAGAGCAACGGCCTGAGGCTGAAAAAGCTAACAGGAAGCTGGCTGAGGAATTTTTCCACTCAAATGGAGTTTGGAGACACCAGATGGCTGCTTGGTCTCCCCTCCACCCCTCTCCCAAACTTTAGTGCACGGTCTCCATAGGCTTGCCCATCGTGGCGAAGGACAGCCTCAGGTCTGCTCCACAAATACCGGTGAAGATGCTCAGCCCTTGACTGAGCAAGCTACCTCCCTGAGCCCCATCTGCCAGAAAAGCAGTCCTTGTAAAAATGTAAACCGTGAGGCAAGGATGAAGTCGGCTCTTTTATATGAGCCGGTGAGTTTTGTATTTCAGGGTTTATGCCTGAACCATGGCTAAAGTTGTAAAATGAAAAATCAAAGCTGTAATCTATCTGTGTGCCTCTGTATATGGGTATGTATGTAAGTGTGTCTATATGTGTGTGTGTGTGTGATGCATGTATAACATTTTCCTAATTACAAACTGTGCTACCACACTCTACTCTAAAATCCTTTCTAAAAATTCCTTTTGTATTACCTAAGAGATAAATAAGAGGTTATAATTTTAAGTATTCCGGAAATTTTAAGAAACTATTAAAATTAAATTTCTAATATACACAATGTGGAGAAAAGGGCATTCTTACATAAACTTACCAAAATATTACAAACATTTTTACTTCACATGATATAAGTACATCTTGGGCAAATGAGACTTTAATAAAAATGTCATCTATTTATTAATTTAATAAATACATCTATGTCTTCTGAGTTATCAATCTGGCGAAAATACATGTTTATTCTAATTGGATATTTTTTTAAGCATATACAGACTTTCTGAACCTCTTTGTTTTATAATTTAGATATATTACTGCTTTATTCTAACTATATGCTCGATATATTTATGGCATATTATGCTTCAGGGTTATTACATCTGACATTTTTTTCCCTCTAAAGAATATATCCCTCCATTTTCAGAAAATAGATGTAATACCCACTGTTCTTTGACACTAAGATCAATCATCATGTTTATGCATATTTTGTTTAAAATATTTTACACTGACTGAAGTGCCACATGAGTAAATTTTCTCATCACTGGTATTATTATTATTATTTTTTTCTTTTTTAAATCCTCACCCAAGGATAGTTTTCCATTTGTCTTCAGATAGACTGAGAGAGAGAGAAAAGCATCGATGTGATAGAGACACATCGATTGGTTGCCTCCCGTGTGGTTCTGACCAGGGCTGGGGACCAGACCACAACCAAGGTACATGCCTTTGACTGGAATCGAACCCATGACCCTTTGGTCCACAGGCTGATGCTCTAATGACTGAGCAAAACTAGCCAGGGCTCAATTGTATTATTTTTATAGGGAACTGTCATCAAACTTTTCCCTTTTGGAAACTATCAAAAATACGTTAACCGTGACCATTTTATGTCTTTTGTCGTCTACAGATAGTTTCATGTTTCACTCTCATGCGTCCCAAAGAAGACTTGGAGATCAGCTACGTGCCCGAGTGCTTTGTCTTCAGCTGAAAGGACAGTCTCAAAGACCCGCAGAGAAGGACTGGGCCAGGTACTCCTGCTCACTGGCTTCTGGGGGCATTGCTTCAATAACTGGGGTTGTTGGTGGACTGAGTCAGGATTTCCAGGACTTCAGCTGAGAAGGAGAGGGATTTATGAGCCTGCTAATCCAAGATAGAGTGAGACAGGTGTGATTGCATAGGACTGAATGAACTGATGATGGATGGATATGGGCTTTGTTTGCAATAGTGCTGATGCATTCACGTTCTATTTTCTGGATGTAAGGAACCGCTTTCTATTAAGCTATCGATCACTCATAACAATTTAGTAGACTGTGCTCTTGCACACAGAAGTGGAACATCTATCTGTTCTACCCTGACTCACCTTCCCACAATTCTGAAACTCTTACTGAGTACTCTTATTTTCATGGCAATACAGTTATTTGCATAGATTCAGTAAGAGTCTGTCCACCTTGTTAATAGGACATAACTGGAAAGACTGGTTATGCAACCAAGGCTTTGCCTAGAATGTCATATTGGAGAATGATGCTCATTTAGTCAGATATGACCAGATGCTTCTAGGAACTAAGGCTGACTTGGTCTCTCTTGAGAAGACTGGCCTGGTAACTGGCTTCATAGGGTTCCCAGCCTTGCCAGTGAGTGAGGAAGGTCACTTCCTGGCAGGCTCAGGAACCTTAGGCTACTTGGGGGACCTCAGGAAGAGAGGATTCCCATCAGGTCACTGGGTGCTGCAGGGGGAAAGTGGTGGTGAATTCTTGGCTTGCTTTCTACCCTCAAGAGGCTTTGAAAAGTCCAATCTGAGATTCTTTATGAAAACTTCCAGCAAAGGAAATCTAAAACCTATGTGGCAGATTGCCATTCTTGGTGCATCTGTGCAAATGACCAGGCCACCTCTAATGAGACCAGCCTTATTTTGTGATCAAGAATAATCTTTGAGATTGTCTTTGACCAAAAGGAGAAGAGAGACTGTAGAGAGAAACTGTGTGTGTTTCATTGGGCAACTCACTATAGCACACTCTCCTGGATGATCAGATTCGGACCCTACTCATTGTCTCTGAGCTATGTTGCACTGCTCTGTGAAATGCAATTGACTGGTCCACATGCAAACTCTGTCTTGTCTAGTGACCAAGCTTTCTCTTTCACTGTGGAAAATCGGTTAGGTACTGAACTGGGTTCTCTCATCTCGCGCATTTGTCAACCCTTACCAGATTTTCAGTTCTTTCAGATTCCTTCAATACTGGCTACCAATTGACCTGAGCCTCCAAATTAAGCTTTCCATTTTTCCTCCCTTTTTTTGACTTGGAGTCACTGAGAACTGAAACCTGACTGCCCGATCCTTATTGAGACTCTAAGGTTGCCTTGTAGCTGGTCCTTGCCCATGATCTGAAGAGTCAGTGCAAGCTCTAGTCTGAGGACTTGTTATAAACCTGGGACTCATCACTGCTATAGACCATGCATGGGCCAATTTCTCTCTTGAAAAGCTGCTGTCTGGGACACTAAGGATCCTGGTGAAATGCTCAGCTAATGTATCCCCTCATAAGAGAAGTAACTTCGATGCTGGGCAACATAATTAGGAGCATAATATGATTCAAAAGGTTGTGCTTCATAATTAGGAAAGTTTCATCCACCGAGCTCTTGAAATTCGCTAAACTAGATACCCTTAGGGTTCAACTTCTGGTTGTTACTTTGTTCCTTTCCTTTGTATTAACATTTTTCCTTTTTATTTCAGGGTTCCCACTTTTTCGATGCCTGACCTCACGGACACAGAAACAACTGGCCTTGGCCAGCACACGAAGCAAAGGGTCCAACCAGTCCTGTAGGGACGTCACCGAGGACTGGTTCACTCAGCATCCCTTGTTCAAAAAATTTCTTATCCCTGTATTGTTCAAGTCTTGTTGAGCCTGCCTTGAACAAGAACAGGGACTGACAAAGTGGGTTAAACCGTGCTGAGCACAACTGCAGGCAGCTCTGCAGAGCACCGCTAGGCCCTCGGCTCCGTGTGAACGTTCTGCACTCGGGCATGTTTGCTCCACGTCACATGCAGAATAGCAACGCCATGTGCCTGATCACACCAACTCTGCCGCCTCAACTTTTCTCTTAGTGCAATATTTGGTGCAGTCAAGCTGAAAGGCTGCGCCCACACACCACCTTCAAGCATTGCAACTCTCTTCCACCTTCCACACTTACCTAGCCCAGGTCTCCGCGTAGAAAAGCTATCCTTGCCCGCACCTTGCTTGAAACTTCTCTGGCTTAGGCTTTGAGCATCTCCCTGAGGCAAAACTCTTGCTTAATAATGTCTTTCTTTACTCAAGTCTGGATTTACCTTGTCTTTCTTGACAATATAAAAGATATCATTTAGGATATGATTTTTGGAAGGTAAAATATAAAAAGTTGTCAAGAAGTTTGAACACTCGACTCAGTAGGATCATGGATTGCCGAGAATCAGTACTTGGTTATCTATTTAACCAAAATGGTAATACAAATTTTAAAAAGGTAGATGGTAACATGATTATAAAGAACTTTAGCTCTTTTAAGTGGAAAACTTTATTCTTTTAAACTATCAAGGATCTGATAAAGTCCACACAAAATGTAGGAAAATATTTCGCTAAGACACTGAATAGTTGTTGTCTAGGTAGATTACTCAAAAGGTAAAAAAAAATCTTTTACAAGCTCTTATTAAGAAACCAATCATCAGAGGGGAAAAAAAGTCATTTTTAAGAGAGAAAATCAAATTCTAGTTTTGAAATTACAACTCCTATTTTAAATCATATAAGTAAACTCATCAAACCTAAACCAGGTTTGACTATGAGAACTAAAAGTTTTTTTTCCATGAACCATCCGCAACTTTCTCCACCCAGGAAGGTTCTTTGAAGATGACTTTCTCTTTCTCATCCGGAAAATCTAGTCGTTTTACTTCAGAACAAACCTACTCTCGTCTTTGATGAGACACCTGCATGCTTAGCACGCCAAGTGTGTTCTCTCTGCCCCTCTCACTCCTATGAGTCTGACCCACATCTATCAGTTGTAATTTTATAACTACTGTAACCTCAATTGCACAGGGAAAACCAGGAGGTGGTATAAAAAAACAGCTATACAATGAACACTGCTTGAAATGCCAAGACTGAGCTTATTGAGCTACTGCGGAAGGGAAAAGAGCCTTCAGTAAAGCACTGAGCTCAGTTTCCAATACGGCAAAGACAGCTGGTCACCCACAGCCAAGGAACAGCGCAAGGGGTCAGTGGGTGGAAAATAACTAAGAGGAACTTGATTAGCTATCAAGGGTGCAGGAATTCTTGCTAAACTGGCTTAGCAGAATTTTTACAGGCCAAGGTCTTAGATATTCAAGGCAGGAACTTGATCAGATATTGGGGGAGGGGGTGGTGTTTCTTAAGATTCTTGGCTAAAACTGGGTTAGCAGCCTAAGGCCGAGGCCCCATCTACAGGCTCGTAAGAGCCTGACTAAAGTTTGGGCAAGGAGGGAGTCTCTGTCAGTAGAAAATTGTAAACTATCTTCATACGTCCACCTTTGCCAGCAGAGTTGATAAATATATATCTCATGACTTTCCATGGCCATAAATATCCCTTACAGTATAACTTCTTACTGTGGCAGGAATAAACATGTCCCTTAACAGACCCAAATATACAGCCTCTCTGTATTAAGGAAAAGTAGGAAGTGAAAAGTGTGAAAAAATGAAATGATTTTTAGTAATTAATGCTTCAGTATTTTAGCTTATTTAGGTATGTTCTAGATATCTGACAAATTAACTCAATTTAGCATCAGACCAAGCTTTTAAATTAAGAGGATTTTGGAAACTATCTTCAAGTGACATACTATAAAACATAGTTACTTTTTTTGCCCTGGCCAGTTTACTCAGTGGTTAGAGCATCAGCCCTCAGACCAAAGGGTCACGTGTTCGATTCTCAGTCAAGAGCATGTACCTGGGTTGCAGGTTCAATCCCTGGCCCAGTTAGGGTCATGCAGGAGGCAATGTATCTCTCTCACATTGATGTTTCTTTCTCTCTCCCTTCCTCCCTCCTTTCCACTCTATCAAAAAAAAAAAAAAAAAAAAAATCAATGGAAAAATATCCTTGGGTGAGGATTAAAAAATAAATTTAAAATAAATTTAAAAAAACATAATTACTGTTTAAATAGTGTCAGAATAATGAGTTAATTTGACAAAAAAGTTTATACTTTTTATAATCTTTAAAATCCAGTAACTAAAATGATAGCTTATTAAATCAGCAAACCTTTATAAGTTGAGAAAGAACATGCCGAGTAGAATGAAAATATGTTTCTATTATACCTGGTGATGATAACTCCGAAGATATAGCTGTTTTTTATTGAACCAATAATATTAAATTAGTCTCATTTGCCAAAATGTACCTCACTTATGTATACTTGAATTTTTCGTCCATATAACAATTTTACCACTTTAAAAGTATTAGGAGTTTAATCTTTTTGATATCTTGGAATTTAAAAATATTCCATTTGTATAAGTCCTTACTTAGCTCTAAGTCCATCAGAATAGTGCTCTTTAAAAATACGTTAATATTTACAAAATGGAATCCTATGCAGCTACAAAAAAGAAGGAACTCTTACCTTTTGTGATAGCATGAATGGACCTGGAGAGTATGATGCTAAGTGAAATAAGCCATTCATAAAAAGACAAATACCATATGTTTTCTCTTATATGTAGAATCAAATGAACAAGACAAACTAACAGACAAAATAGAAATAGACTCATAAATACAGAAAACAGACCGACAGCTATCAGAGGGGAAGGGGTTTGCAGAGCTGGGTGATGAAGGTGAAGGGATTAAGCAAAAAAAAAAAAAAAAAAACCCTCATAGACAGACAGGTAATAGTATGCTGATTACCAGAGGGAAAATGGGGGTGGCAGGAGGTGGAAGAGGGTAAAAGGGGGATAAATGGTGGTGGAAAGAGACACCATGATTTCTGGTGGTGAATATATAACACAACATATTGATGATGTATTATAGAATTGCACTCTTAAGCCTATATAATTCTATTAACAAATGTAACCCCAATAAATTCAATTAAAAAGTGTATAACCTAATTTAGTGGGAAACTATTACATACCCAAGACACATAACTATACATGTAGACATAAAAAACTCATAGCTTCAGTTCTAAAGTTTCAGCCCACCGGTTTGGCATAAATCCAGAAATACAAAATTCACTTTTCATACAAAAAAAAAAAGAGCTTTTGTCCTCCCAGTGGATACAAATTCTTAATTGATTTGAGTTCAAAACAGAGAAAAATGGGTAAACAAGGAGAAAAAAATAACAAACTTGATTTTCTGACATTTTTTACCTAAGAGAGATAAGGTATCTGTAAACCATTTAATTCTTTAGAGAGATTGCTAAATGATCAGACTATAAAACAAAAATAAGAACAAATCCAGTACCAGAAATCCATTAAGCATTCCAGAAAAGTCAAAATCCAATTTTTACCATGCTACCAACAGACAAGAGGTTGGAACACAGGACAAGTGTCAGAACTTACCCTTAGATCCCTGGGTTGCCAGTCAGAAATGAAGAATGATCATCTCCACATGGTCTATTACCTGACTGGAGCAGACCAGAATCTGAATCTGAAGGCAAGTTATAATCCTGAGCCATGGCACCAAACTGTCAAAGACCAAAAACACAAAAAGACACAAGTTAGGAGACTAATATTCTTTACACTGTTGCTGTAGGGAGCTCACCCCAATCTGAAGATCTCCAGAAAGGTATCAGCTTTTATAGGGAGAATGACGAAAAAATATGCAAATTGGTGGTTTACAGTGTGGTTACGTTGCCAGCTGCAGAGATGCTTTAGTCATCACCTACAAAGGAAGTGGTTTTTGAGGTAACTTGAATGCAGATAATCTACCACATAACAAAGAACAGGAAGTTGAAGTGTTTATGTTTTGCCTTATCAGGCAAGGGGAACATTTGTTTAGTTTTGACAAAGATATAGTAGCAAAGAGTTTCAAGCAGAAGTAATAACAAAACAAAATGATCTCATCTAGTCTAGGCTCTAGATTCTTGTCATGAGTCTAGACTACATTCTGGTCTAGTTTCTAGTTCTCTATACCTGAATCTAGGCTATGTCATGACCCCTCCCACCCCACTGGCTCTTCTGCATGGAATGTACTTACTTTTAATGCCCCACCTCCCAACCTCTGTATATGTAGCCTTTCTTCCTTTCACTTACTACATCTGTCCACATCTCTCCATTGGTCGAGATGCTGGTCCAGTCATTATATCACCTTATCCCTTCAAGACTTCTGCACTGCCTAAATGGTCTTCATCCTTCCAGTCTTTTCTCACAATATGGTCTCCACAGAGCAGTGAGAGTGAACTAAATAAAAATCTGATTTTGTTACTAATCTGTCAAAAATTTTAAATCTCTCCCTATTGCTCTTCAAAAAACAGTGTGTACTGCACAGCATAGCACCCAAGCCCTCACGCGTGGGCTTGCTCCTTTCTTCTGCCAGCCCTTCGGAGACTCTCCAATTCTATTGAACCACGTGCAGTTCCTCCATGTCTAGACATTGCTTGTGTGTTTTCTTCTGCCTCCATCAAGCTAAATCCTTAATGTGTGTATACATGAAGTTTAGATGATGCCTCTTCTGGGTTCCTTTCTGGCCCCACCTCCCCTATCAGTCTTCCTGTCTGAATGGGCTCAAGTTTCTCTATTCTACATTCTGGTCTTCCATATCACCTACCACACCATTTGGAAAATTGGTAGCAATTTCCAGAGATAGGTACAATTGTTATCTTTGTTGCATAGATACATAATTAAGGATCAGAGAGGCTGTCACTTCCCAAAGCTCATACAGCTGCTAAGTAGAGAAGCTGAGGTTATGCTGCACAGAGGAAAGAGCCCTGGCTCACTCCTTGAATGTGGTCAACTAACTTGCATCACATCTAGTCTAGTCTCTAGACTCTTGTCATGAGTCTAGACTATACTTTAGCTTCCTGTTCTTTGTCACATGGTGGATTATCTGCAATTGAAATTCCAGTGCACTCAAGCTAGCTCAGAAACCATTTCCTGTGTAGATGCTGACTAATGCACCTCTGCAGCTGGCAGTGTGACCACACTGTAAACCACTGGTCTTGTTGGCCAAGAGAACAACAGTAATTCACATTCTTTAGTCCTCAGTTTCTTCATTTATTGAATAGAACCCCTGATGCCCACACTTTTCATTTCCTTCTGTCAACCCATCCCTTTGTTTATCTTAAAGCATTTAACTTTCACTGTTTTATATTTTGTTCATAAAATTAGTGACTCTTATAGCTCTCAAAGAGTAGAAAATACGTCACCTTCATCTTCTTTTCCATAGTTCCCAGGCCACTGTTCTATGTTTTAAATGTATTAACTCATTCAATCTTCACAATACCACAAGGAAGGTTTTGCTTTTTTCTTTTATTTCCCACTTAAGGAGGCTACTGGCCTCAATCCCAATTTTATTCACGTCAGGTGGATGTGGAAGGAGGCAGTCTGGCTCCTTAATTTCTGTATTGTACAAGACAGTAATTAAATTTTCTTCTTAAATCTAGGTCTAGTTTCAGAAAGGATTTATATATATATATATATAATATATATACAAATATATATATATATTTGTCTCCTCTTTCTCTGAACTCTTTTTAACTCTTGCTTTTATTCTGTGATCAGTATTTATTTTTGTGAAATAAAATAATTTTTATTGCACTCTAAAATTTCAGATATTAAATCTCATATATACATTATTAATTTATCAGTGTTACCATGAGCAACATTGAAAGAGAAAAGTCTTCCCCTACTTTTCACATTTTACAACCTGAAATGTGAAGATTAGTCTCTCCAAAATATGCCACTTTGACAAAACGATTACTTTGACTGAGGCAATTAAGAAGGAGCTGACAATAAAGCTCTCTGTCCTCCCCCTATTTGCCTAAAAGCAGGACATAAATTGACAAGTGTGTCCTCTCTCCCCTCTCTACCAGAAAGGACAAAAGTTAATCACCAGAGACAGCTTTAGACCTTTATCAGCCTGCAGGTGGCACCAGACAAATCTACATGACAAACTGGGCTAGCCAGCCTTCACCTACCACTAGCTTCGGTGATGAGAAAACAGCTTTTCTGAGTCGCTGCCCAGGCGTTTCAGAGCATGGCACCTGCTCACACCAAGTCGGGACATTTCCACCCCAAGTTCTCACTTTGCTTCTCCTGGAGCAGTTTTTTGGTTTTTTCTTTTAAAAATACAATTAATGTATGTTTCCCAGGTTTATTGAGGTATAATGGACAAGTAAAAGTGTATATATTTATTTCTTAAATATATATGTATTTATTTATTATTGACAGTATTAGAGATGTTCCCATTTTTCTCCTTTATCCTCTTCCCCCCATCCCTCAGCCTTCACCACACTACTGTCTGTGTCCATGGGTTATGCATATAGGTGTATAAGTTCTTTAGTTTGTCTCTCCCCCCCCCACCCCCCCACCCCACCCAGGATAAGTCAGTCTGTCCCATGCCTCCATGCCCCAGGACTTACTTTGTTGGTCAATTTATTTTGTTCATTATATTTCACATATAAATGAGATCATGTGAAACTTGTCTTTCTCTGACTGGTTTATTTCATTTAGCATAATAATCTCCAGGTGCATTCTGGCTGTCTTAAGGGTATGGGAACCTTCTTTTTTTCAGCTGTATAGTATTCCATTATGTAAATATACCACAGTTTTCTTATCCATTCATCTAGTCATGGGTACTTGGACCACAGCACCTTCTAAAATAATCATGGTGTTGCCCTGCCCGGTTTGCTCAGCGGTTAGAGCAGACCAAAGAGTCTCGGGTTCAATTCTGGTCAAGGACATGTACCTCGGTTGTGGTTCCTCATCCCTGGTGGGGTAGTGCGGGAGACAGCCAGTCGATGTGTCTCTCTCACATTGATGTTTCTCTCTCTCTCCTTCTCTTCATCTTTCTCTCCCACTCTATCTGATGATAAATCCTTGGATGAGGATTAATAAATAAATAAATATAAAATAAAATAATCATAGCGTTGAGCCTGCCAACGTTACTGACTCTGCCCCAACTATCTTGTAAGTAACTCGTGCTCACTCCCCTGCTCTCTACCGACTGCAAGCTTGTGACCTGGGGTAGAGAACTGCTCACTGAGTAACCCACCCCTCCCCCAATCCCGTTTCTGGGATCTGTGAGTAATAAATCTTGTGACTCTACTTCCTTTGTTGGGGTTTATTGGAACTGTGCCTTCAATCAAAGGATCCCAGGGGTGTCGGGGTTTCACTTCCCCAAAGTGAGAGTTTGGGTGCTGCGGGAGTTACCTGATGACTGGAAGAGGTGGCTTGTGCCCTCTCATTCAGCAGACAATAATTTGCATGTTTTTAATTTAATGCACCAGCCAACAGCCCCAGCACAGTTTCTCTTAGATTTGCTTTCACACAACTTGCTGCCCCTGGGGACCTAAAGCTGTTGTCTTTGTCTTATCACTTCTCTAAACCTTTATGCTTCCCTTGCTAAGCAAGTTCTAACTAAACCTTTGAGCTACTCATCTCTGAGTTTCTCCTGTATATTTATGAAATATACATGTTAACAAACTTCTGTTTGTTTTTTTCTTGTTAATCTGGCTTTGCTACAGAGCCCTAGCCAAAACCTAAAAGGGTTGAAGGAAAAAAGGGGGAATATCTGTAATATTAAACATACAAAAATATGAAAGAGTGCACATGTTGCCTCTTAGACCTGGAGAAGTCACGGATTTATGAAAAGCAACACAAATCTTAGATAAACAAAAATGTTGCGCATGGGGCCCAAGATATGCTCGTTTTGGCCTTATAAGACACAGAACACATATAATATGTAGGAATTAAAAAAGATCCTTCACATTAAAAAAAAAAACAGAAGTAATTAGATGTTGGAACATGGCGATGAGCAAGACCGGAGCAATAGTGAGCGGGTGAGTGGGTGATAGGTGTGAGGGAGAGTGTGAACGAGTGTGGCTGTGGATGAATATCTATCTGCGCAGTAGTGTGGAAACTTCGGGCAGATGGTACTAGGGCCAGGGAGCAGCCGGCTACCACTCTGCACTGCTTGGCGGGCACTTTTGCCCACTCAGGGATGAAAGGCACTGCCACTTGGAAAGATCTGCTGGGTCCTCCTTGGGAAGAGGCAGCAGGGAGTGGCTAGAGCACAGAGCTCTGTGGCCCTGAGTGCACCTTGCACCATTGGACCAGCTGCTTCTGCTGGCCACCCAGCCAGGACACAGTAGCCATGACGCCAAGGCACCAGCACATGGAAGCGCTGGGGGATCTAAGTCCCATCCTTGGCAGCAGCAACAGCACCGGGAGCTGAGCCCCACCCCCGGGAGCTGAGCCCCACCCCCGGAACCACCAGCATCGGCTCAGGAGCCAAGCCCCACCAGGCAGCAGCGGCTCCTCGGGATCCCCACATCCCAGCAGTGCCTACAGTGACACACGAACATGAGCTGCCAGCCATCAACCCTCCTGGACCCACAGCTGACAAGAGGCACCTGCCCCACTACTGCAGCCACCATAGAGAGCTACCTGGGGTGCTGCCCCAGGATGACTAGACTCAATCCAAGACCTGGCCCTAGCACAACCTAATGCCCCTGGACACACCAACCTGCCAGCATAACCCGGGGCACCCTGAACCATGAAAATGATGAGATAAAGAAACACCCCCCAAAAGA